CCATTGATAAGAATCTGATTGAGTACCACCTTCTGTGTCAATAATTGACAAAAGGAATGCAGGTAGAGGCCAGCCAAAGGCTCCCTTAGGACATCCCATCCCCTAAGGGCTCTGAATGGCTGAAAATACAATGAATGACAGCATGTTCCATCAATCAGACCAGCTATTTTTGAGGCGGTCAGATTCAAAATTCAATTTCATTAGCCAATAAATCTGTTTCCTCCAGGTCTGGAGATGAGTAAGGTTAGCGTTTTGTGAATATATTACTGGTCTTACGGATGTCCCGAACAAGGTAAAAACATTGGCTATATTCTTTTTTGCTGGTTTTTGCTTTTGCGGTCATGTTTTGTTGGCTTATTGATTACTTATCGACGCACTTTTCTTAAGTTTGCTGAAGTGCGTCATCAAATACAAAGTGTAATTGTGATCGACTGCCTTGGTGTATTTCGGTTTTGAAAATGTTAAATGTTTGTCTTTTTTCGATTGGTAAAAGGTTTTCTATAAAGGTTTTTTGGTTTTGTTGGTGAAATCCGATGAAATGAGATGTGTGTCTTAAGTCAATATTAACTTAGCTCGAACCCGCTGGCGCTTACACGGTGCACTATGGGGTATGTATTATTACTCAACTCCATCCAATCATTTCCTAACTGCTTTATCCAATACTGGATAACATAGGGGAGGTGGAACCTCTTCTGGAAAGTAACTGGAGCAAGGCAGTAAGCAACCTGGGTGGGATACCAATGCATTGCAGGGAATGCACAGACACACACATGCCTACACTCAGACCAAGGCCAATTGTACCAGAAGCTAATTAACCTACCAGTATGAGGATAGCATAAATGACTAAACCATTGTCTGTAATGCCCAGGTTCAACTCTCACCTTCAGCTTTAAGAAATCACCAGTATGTTTTTGGAGTACGGGAGTAGAGCAGAACACATGGACGAAACACATGCAAACATCAAACTCTATGCAGATAGCACCCCAAGAATAAAATCCAGGGCCCCACGGCTGCAAGGCACCACTGCTAATCACTGTATCACTGCGAAAATCCTATAATCTGAATCATATCTTATAATTATATTTTAATAAATAATTCAAATACCCGGAACATTGTCACAATGTCTCCATGGAAAATGAAAAAACGAGGCATCACAATTACAGAGTTGTTTCCAACATTTAAGAAAACAACATTTTATTTAGTTTTTCTTTGACATTTTCCAGCGTTTTGACCTTTATAACACTTACTGTATATCAAAATGATTTTGTCTACCTTTGCAAGACAAAAACATTTAAAATCTTATGGTGTCTCCATTCCTTTTCTGTACAGTTTTGCTTTGTTTCGCTAATGTCATTTCCTCTCTGCCATTGGATAATGATGCTATTAATGACTGCTACTTGTATTTTAGCTTAACATTAATCCATCTTGTTGCTCACCTGTCGTTAAATGTATACCTTCCATCTAAAGATGCATTTATCAATGGTCAATTTGTATTCTGGCTGTGAGGTGGAACTGAATGGCCATGCGTTCAGAGTTTCCTTTGTTTAATCATCTCAGCTAGTTTTAAGTCAAAGACTGAAAAAGCAGTGACTCTAATTCTTTGTTTATCAGGTAGTATATAAGTTCAAGATTCAAGCTGTGAAGAGACCCCCCAAAGAAACAAATTCACTGTTAAGCATTTCATCAGGTTAGTAGGTTAAACAATGATAGACAGTTTTTCTTTTGGATATTGTCAAGCTAAACAAAGGTTCACAGCCGTAGCTTTACAGGAATGTTAAATGCTTTGAACATGCCTGGCAAAGAGCAAAATTAAGCATTTATTGGATTACGTTGGTTGCAGGGAGGCAGTTTCTTTCTTTAATTTGTGTCTTAAGCAAAACATTCCTTTCTGTAACAGGTTTCTTGTCTTGCTAAACAGCACAGAGGTCATAGAGATGCATCGAGTCTCTGTAGGTGTTTATATTTGAGAAAGACTACAGTTACCTACTGTATGTGTTAAAAGATACTGAATTAGAATAAATGAAATACATAGCACAGAGAGCAACAGGAGCAAAATTGGATGCATAAGCACACAGGCAAGGCTACAAATAAAGGGAGGTTGTTTGAGTCATGTAGTGTCTTGGGTAGTTACTAGTAGTTAATTGATCTGAGAATCTCATCGAACAATTTCTTAAAACAAGCTAGGGTATCAGCACCAGCAGACTGTATAGCTTGCTCTAGACTGCCAGATCTTTTTTTCAGTGGCAGCAGTACATAAATTTAACTTTTAGTTAATTAAAGATTTTAGATCATATTAAATAAAATGTCTAGTATAAATATGTACATTTATATATTGCAACAGGCTATGTTCTGAAGGGGCATTACTTTTCCTAACAATTTTTCAAAGCTCTCACTCTACCTAACATGGCAGACCAAATGAATAGCTCCCAAGAGGGTAGACACTGGCAATCACTGGAGCAAGGATCAACTGTGTGTCCTGCTCCAGCCCACATCATAAATAGAAACCAGGAACTAGGAACACCGGGTGACATACAGATGAAAATGTCTAAGTATGAGTGACACATGACTTCCTTTTCAGCCTCTACCCCAGCACAGATTGATACTCCACCAAACCAGCCTCCAGGCTAAAGATTCCTTCTATTCAGCTGCATAACAAGCTTCCAGACTGAGGGCAGGCTTCTACCATGCCAGCCACACTATCACATTGCAGGTTGTTGATTTACCAAAACAGACACAGAGCTGAAGATCCCAACCACTTAGCTACAGTACCTTTTATGCCTTGATGTAGAAGACAGGCTGTAGAGCTCCCAACCAACCCCACTTATTACAATGCAGGCTACTGACTTACCAGAACAGCCACAAAGCATGAAGATTACAGTCATTCAGCTACCTTACACACCTCAGACTAAAGATATGTGACTCTGCTACTACCTTCACCACCCCAGACAAAACATCGACCACCGATGTTGCTGTGCCGAATACAGAGCTGTATTATACTGTACATATCACTCTGCAACTCACAACTGGCAACCCACTGCAGCTAAGCAGGTGTGAGCCTGGTCTGGGAAAAACTAAGGTTGCTGCTGGAAGAGGTGTTAGTGGGGCCAGCTGGGGACCCTCACCCCGCTGTCAATGTGGATCCTAATGCCCCAGTATAGTGACGGGGACACTATACTGTAAACAGGTGCCGTCCTTCGGATGAGACGTAAAACCGAGGTCCTGACTCTCTCTGTGGTAATTAAAAATCCCAGGGCGTTTCTCAAAAAGAATAGGGGTGTAACCCCGGCGTCCTGGCCAAACTTTCCATTGGCCCTTACCAGTCATGGCATCCTAACAATCCCCGTCTATGAATTGGTTTCATTACTCTGCTCTCCTTCCCACTGATAGCTGACGTGTGGTGAGCGTTCTGACGCATTATGGCTGCCGTTCATCCAGGTGGATGCTGCACATTGGTGGTGGTGGTGGGGAGTCCCCATTACCTGTAAAGCGCTTTGAGTGGAGTGTTCAAAAAAGCGCTATATAAGTGTAATTAATTATTATTATTATTATTATTATTTTTATTATTAAATAGTTCCAGTGAATAAAGAGTAGTTTGACTTCAGATGCATGTGGGGAGTGGGGAGTGTATCTTTGATCAGGTCCCCAGCTAGAATCTGTGCCCCAGTTGTGAGTCTCCCAACTCCCTAATAAATTGCATTTTGTGTCAGTAAATGGTTGTAGAACTTTTACTGGAGCTGTACATAGCAGAATGCCTCACCACGTCTGTCAAGCTTTTTAGGCAGTGCAAAATGTTAACGAATTCCAACTGCTGAAAAGAGCACATGAAAAAATATTTGTAGACATGAATATGAAGACTCTTTTAAACATTTGCATTTGTTTTGGAAATACTAAATTTTTAAGCCAAAGCTAAATCTGAAATCTTTGGTATTAGTTCCATTCTCAGACAGATATTTGTAAGGGTTAGCCCAAGAAAAGACCTCCTTCTCAGCAGATCCAGCGCTTAATGCAAATTATTACTTGAAGGTGAATTATAATCTACATTATTCATGAAAATCTTCTGTAAATGGATATGCGGTCCTGTTAATTTTACTGACACTTCCTACATAAATCACAAAAGGCTTTTATCACCGTTGCAGCCAAAATGACTGCCAGCTGCTGTTGTGAATGAAGTGATTTGCTTCTCATATATTTCAGAATAAAATCCTACATATGAGTGTGCATTCAGACTTAAATAATGCATTGCAAATGAATATTGTTTGCTTCATTATTTCCGTGAAGTTTTTTTCCTTCTTTTGTCTTAGAATTTCTAAGCTTTTCATTAACTTGGTTTAGTAGGTTGTGTTTCAGAGATTATCAGTATGATCTGCCCTTAATGTTCTTTTGTGTTTATAGATTTAAACAATGCAATTTGTTTCCCAGGGCAGTGACAGATATTCTGTGGTTTAAACTTTAGTGACTCAATGAGCACATATTCGCTATATTATTTGTGCATAAAATAGCAAATATAGGGAAATAAACTTTGAATATCATCATTGTAATGCGGATGTCTCTTAAAATTTGTATGCACCTCTGAAGATTTTATGTCTGTTCTAATCACTGCTTTGCTCTTAAAACTCATAGCTGATGCTGACTGCTGTGGTTTGCTGTTAATCAAAGCACTTGGCTATGTGACATGATTAAGAAATAAATAATAAAGAGTATTTTATAGTTAGTTTGTATAAAATATAAAAGATTGTTATACCTTTGAACTGCTTTAATCTAACAGTTCATAACTCAACAAAAGCACCCATTCAACATTCTATTTCATATGGTTGCACAATATTTTTGCATATTAGGGTTGCTTTTAGCTCTACCACAGCACTGTTAGCATGTTGGGTATTGGATATGCATATTTTCAATTCAGTATCCCTAAAGATCTCCATCCACTTTGGGCATACCGATTTAATGGTAAATGGAACATACTCTTGCAACACAATGAGCTTTTGTTTTGTTTCTTGCAGGGGATGAAGGCCGAAAGGGATCAACTTTGCTGTGTTTACAGTACATCATTTTCAGTGTAACTTATTTTAATGTCAAAGGTTCTATATACATATATTTAAAAAAAACAGCAAAATAAAACTTCATTTTAACGCTAATGTTTTCAATTTCTGCATTTCTGTTCAATTCAAGAGTCACAGTAGTACAGTATATTCAAACAAAAAATGAATGTAATAATCACCAATAACACACAAACAAATTATTATTTTCGGGTCATTTCAATTGGCATTTAAATTTATTTGGAATCAGATTGTGAATATTAATATGCTCTTTTAAAAATAATTTAATTTGCTAAAATGTTTGATCTCTGTTATCAACATTTTATTGACTGAGTTGTACAGTATGTAAGGCTGCATAAATAACTGACATAATTTCCACAAGAACAAGATAATAATTTAGTGATTCAATTTGAAGTGATTCAGTTTGAAAATAATAAAGCTGCCAACTGACTAACACAATCTGGCTAAGGGAACGCAGTGTGATAGTTTTACCCTTGTTGCTGTAAGATATGTTCTGTAGGATGCTATTCACCTACACAAATAATTCCTGGGTAGTGACATATGACAGAAACTAGTTTCCCATTGAAGGAAACCATGGCAAGAAGGTGTCATTCTAAAACCAACTAATACTGATATCAGGTTCACATGTTTGCACTTCCATTTTGCAAACTTTGATTAAATCAAAGTGGAACATTTTGCATCATCTTCCTATTAACTCTATCTTACTCCTTTTAATAGGCTTAAAACCTTTTCACATTCACACTTCATGAATTAATTGTACCCCCACTTTAAAGGTAACAACATTTATTCATTGCTCATCTGTGATTTCCATTTGAGTACAGTAGAAATTGTGAAGTGAAATGGGATAGTTTTTTTTATTTTTCCTGACTCTATTAAAACAGTTTTTCACGTTCTGAAGAATTTTGAGAAATTCTTAGGTTTTGCACAACTGAAAATGCTACACCCCAATAACCAGTGACCAATAACTACTATATAACAAAGGAAACTGTAGTTGGAGATAAGGTATAGGTGGAGCTTGAAAAATTATTGTTTTTTGCCTAGAAACTTTGCAACTGCACACAGGGGAAAATGAGAAAGTATAGGCAGACTCCTCCAACCTACATACCTTCAAGCCATTTATTTTTTAACATAACACAGGAAATGTAGCCCCATATTAGAATTCAATGCAGATTGAAGGAGAGTAGAGTCTCTCACTGGTAACACCCTTAGCCTCCCCATGTTAACAAATGGGAGACTGTAAGGGGTGTTGAGAGTCAATTGAACCCTCACTAATTCCACTCTTCTGACTTCAGGAATCCTGGTCATAGTCAACTAGTGATCCAGGCTTGAATGCATTGTATCAGAGACCTTAATCTGTGCTCACACGAGTGCCTTAAAAGCACGCAATTAAATTTCAGTGAACAAAGTGGTGGAGTCACTTGGGAGGCCCCCTCAATATTTTTTATTAGGCAAATACAAATGGATCACACAAATGGCTTCAAGTAAGAGTAGACCATTCATTCTGCCTCACCTGAAGGAACTATATCTTGATTTACATTTCTGGCTACTTTTATCCAGATACCTAAAACTCCACAGGTGCCTATTATTTTAAAATAAAATAAACAGTGCTTATTTTAAAAATATGCACTACACAATAACACAAAATAAATAAAAAAAAAACTACAAAATGCTGGGATACACAATGGAAAGAAGACATTACTGTAGATCAAATTAATAATATTTCAGCTCCACACTTTTCAAACTTATTCAAGCACTTCCTAATTGCTTTTAATTCAAACCATATTTAATTGCTTCCCAGCCTGTCAAGATGAAAGCAATGATTAATCAAAACAAACACCTACATTCTTTTCTTTATATCTTTCTGCAAGTTCATTATCACCTGTCTGTTATTTAAATCACTTGCATTCTTAGTTTCTGTAACGTCGAACTGTGCACTACTGTATATTGCTTTAACTGAATTTCATTTACCACGTATCAGCTCAATAGTGAATTCAGTATAAACCATTCTCTATGCTATGATTAAAAAGTTTGTCATACACTCTTTGTGTGCGTTATCTGTAGATAAAACCAATGTATTTACCGCTATCCACGTTAGATAGACTGAAGACCTAATATACAGAATTGTGGCGGGAATATTAGTTGAAGAAATTAGGAAAGGGGAACAAATTATAAAAGACCTTTAAAAAGTGTCCTGCTAACTCTTCATAAAACGTTTTCTTATAATGCATGATATTCGATTTCTTTGTGTAGTTTCTGTTGGATGTACTGTACAAGTACAAATATGAAGGCATTACTAGATGCTAAACTAAAACTTTAGCTGATGTGATGTAAAGGAAACAGAAATAGTCCAGTAACTCTTCAGGGTGGAGCTCATCCCAGTTTCAGTGGTGAAGAGCAGACAGAGTACATAATTCCCCCAGAATGGGAAACTGGTCCATCAATGGTTTATGCTTTATGGTTTCTCTCTTTTTTTCTAATATTTTGTTTAATACCGAATTTGAAATTACACTTCGTTCCTCTACATTCCAGTTCACTGTATTAACTCATGGGGAGAACAACGATGGGCAGATATGCTGCTTCTCTGATCGTGCTCATTGATCTTTTGCTCCACACAAGCTCCATGTTGCTTTACAGTACTGTTGTCAACTGTCAACAATTAGAGGAATGGATCATCTCTCACTGAATTACTATAAACCTGCAAGAACCCGTGGAGGTTGCAGGAGTCAATCAACAAGTGTTGAAGAGTGCCAAAAGATCTCTGGCTGATTACTCTCAAACCTGCCCAGAGCATTGCTACTGTGACATCTTGATCACAGAATTTAACCTGCTCCCTGAGTGAACTAATTTACAGTACTGGTTAAGTCACTTGGGAGTTTCTTATTTTCATTAATTGTCATTAATTGCACTTCTACAAAGAGATAAAATAGAAATGCTCCTAAATGATTTCACCACATGGATACACTTCTAGTTCAGCTTCTAGTAATGTCCATATATCTGTAGTAGAGCTGTACATTAAGAATAAATAGAAGTACAGATAGTTGGTATGTAATTACTCTATCTAGTTAATTTTTCCCTTCATATTGTGAAAGAGTAATTGTTTTTTTTCAATCTGCTGGTACAATCTGTGATAAAAGAGCCAAGCTAATGGTCTAGAAATAACATCCTTCATTTCTTTCAATTGGAAAAAATATTATTAACTCGGGCAGCTTGATTCTTGTAATTGCTCCCAGTCATTGTAACACTTACTGTCCTTTGATTTTTTTTATGTGTGGGAGGTCCTAAGCCATGCTATTTCCTTCCTTAAATAACAATATCTACAGTATGTAAAATATTACTTTTATGTACTCTATATATGGCCTTTGTTCCAATGTTCTTCAATTATTCTATTAATATTCTTAGAATCTCTCTTTTGATCATTGAATGTTCATTTTGTTTTAGCATTGGAAAAGTCATTTAGTATTAATTTTAGCCCTCGCAGCAATGAAGGTTTCAAAGTCGGATTAGCTTTCTTATTTATACTTTTGCTAATTTGTGCTTGTAGCAAGTTGTTATTTCATGTGATCTTTGCCCCTGTCATATATTCTATAAAGTCACTCATTCATCTTTATGCTTTTCTTATATTAATTCACTTAGATCTTTATATATTTATTTTAAGAATTACATTTTCAACTTTCTTGAACAGATTTTGTGCCTTGTGGAGAATTCTATTATTTCTATTTTTTACATACAAAATTAGTGCTGTGATGTTTGGAACATTCGTCAAGTATACTAATGACAATATACTGTATGTAGTGATTATAGAACTTTTCTGGTACAGTATGTGTAGCCTAGTTTTTGTTTAGTGTATATCTCAACAAAATAAATATTACAAAAAAAAACAAAGCATATTGTTATGCTTAAATACAGTAACACTAGCACAGGATATAGTATCTATAGTAATTAAGCCACCATTTTGTTTGTTTGTCCTGAATTGGGACAAGCCACTACTTTTCATGAGTTGCTTCTTTTACCTTTCTTATTTTCTTCTAACTAGTGATTGCATTTAACTTCATTAAAAAAAAACATTCATAATTTTGCATAAAATAATTTTTCATAACTTCTGTATTAGAAATGTAGTGGAAGGGCCATTACCCTGTATGGGATACTACTCATACAGTATGAAATAATATGAAAAATAATATAAATACACACAAAAAGTGAACACACTGAATATACAGCAAATGTGTTATTCCTTTTTAGCAAATGCACCATAAATACACATTCATCATAGGCATAATTAACTGGTCCTTTTTTCTACACAGGATGTTCATACCAGTTGTCTGAATATGTTGTTGTTACTCGGCAATTCATTATAGATTTGTGTCAAAACTGAAGTGAGGTGAGATGCTGAGGAAGGAAGGTGTTTTAACAAATGAATTAGCAAGTATTGCTTTGTGATAGTGATGAGAGGTGGAAACTCCTATCAGCAAAAATGACATTATCTCTCTTTAACATAAAAAGGGTATTTTCAAGGCTTTAAAATGACATGGTACAGACAACACAAAACACAATATGATTCGCAATTCTACAGTTAAATTATAATTGCTAAATAAAATGAAGATTATTATAGAATAAAAAGATACGTTGTCTGTAGAAAAACATAACCTTTATTTATATAAATACTGTAGGAACAGGCAGTGTACAGTAAGTTGAAGGCTTCCTTTGGCTTTCTCCAAACATGAACCCTTCTAGATGTAGGAAAAAGAATAAAAACTTGTCAGACAGTATTACTTTTTTTGACTGCTCAGACGTCCAGGTTTCCAAATGGCAAACCTACTACAGATATCAGCTTTGTGAAGCTCACGACTTACTGTTTTTTTTTAGACTGGGTCATGGGGGTGTAGATTCAGTTCTGTAGTAATTTTTTAGGCTGATTTATTGTTGTTTTTAGCAACTTTTCTGTTATGCGTCTTTCTATCCGTGTTGGTGAGCTTTGACTTGCAACCATGGTAGCAATTTCCTAATTCTGTTTTCCTCTTG